CACTATACTCATTAAAAATAATTAGAATATTTAAAAGGTTTCACTCCCCCCCTTTTTAATTTCAGAATATTATGGGGGTGCAAACATTTTGGTTACATCTAATGCCTTTGTCTCACCCAAGCTAGGGCTACAAGCATGCCCTTCCCCCATACAGTGCGCTCTGCATCCGTTAGTTGTGAGTTTACCCACCCCCACCACTTGCCTCCCACCTGACTGGCACCAAATGAATATTACTACCATTGAGCCAACTTAGTGTTGTTTAATTCTTTTTAAAAATACATCTTCTAAGATAACTGAAAGTGTATAACACTTAAAAGTGCTGTTTTGAGACAGGTACATTTGGAAGATAGAGTCCATTATCGAACTTTAGCATAATAGGAAAAGACATATGTCTTTAGACCTTTTGGCTGTAAGTAAATTTTGAAGTTCACAAGGATTTTAGGATTATAGCTGAAATTCTCATGGAATTTTGAAGTTTAATTCTGTCTTTAGAGAGAAGGCTTTTCTGTGCAGGTTTGAAGTGATAATGGGAATATAGAAATAAGGCTTGAGCATCAGATAATAAATATTAGGCAGTAGGAAGGGAGGATAAAACCATTCTCTTAGCAGCTAAATACCAATAATGTTTCTTGGTTTGAAAGCCACTGTATTGTGTTTAATACTCTTCCAATCTTTTATTCAACAAAAATATATTGAACACAAATGGTTTGCCAAGCAAGACAAATCTAGTCTCTGCTCTGAGTTTATGATCTAGTGAGGGAGACAAGTAATTAAATAGGGATAAACATTTTAGATGATATCTGAAGGATAAGTAGAAGTTGGTGGAAGGATGCCAGTAGAGAAGGATTATTGGAATGAGCTATGTCATGTGGAGTCCCTGAAGTATAATTTACTATTTTCCTGAAAGCTCCTGGGCTATTAACTGATCTAGGCTATTAATGTGCTGCTGAATTAATTTCTATAAATATTATTCTTGTTTGAGAATCCATTGTTTACTCACAAGAGAGCTTTGGCTGTGAGTTTCCTGACTGAATCCTGAGAGTACGGCTATAGCTTTTCTGGCATCTTAATGATGGAGGTTCTAAAACAATCATTAATGCTATTGGTGTAGGCATTTTATAGTATCCCTGTTTTAGAGCTTAGTTGTCAGTAGCACATGTTCATAATGAGGGCAGATGATGTAATGTTGTACTTACATGTTTATAAGTGAGCCCATATGGTTTTAGCTGATGTTTTAAGGAGAACTCTACTTAGAAGTACACTTCTAAGTATTCAGTCAGTTGGTCTTTACTTCAACTTGTTGCATCTCTGATCTCCTAAAGATGGATCTTGGGGGAAGCAGAGCTGGTGCAAAGCTTTCTCCACCCATCTACCAGTTTATTTCCTCTGTCACCTTTTGATGTCTTTGTCTCTCCATTTTCTGTTTGTATCTTCTTGAATAAACCAGATCTCTGAGAAGTCATGTTCTTCCTAACCAAGAGCCCCAAATTCCTCTATCTTCATCCATGATCCAGAAAAACAAATCATTTTCTCAGCATGTATGTAGCCATACCTTCATCTGTTCATATCTTAATGTCTCTTTCAAATCGTCAGCTGTTAAAGAAGTTATGAATGTACCTGTGTAATGAAGTTTGTTTCTTGGTAGAATTTTTCATTCATAAGTACCTGTGTGTCCCTATTTGCCAAGTGCTGTACCAAGAATCCAATAGTTTGCCCCTAACTTTATCATCTCTAATGATAATTTCTGTTTTTTCCCTCCAGGGTTCTTTGTTCCTACATGGCTTAATAATAAATAATACTTGACGGGGTTGGTTTAATCTGGTTAGGTTTATCAATGCTTTCAGCAAGTAAACACATCAGGAAGAAAGTATATTTCTGAAAGATCATATCAGATTTGCATTTGGTTATGATATTCAAGGAGCCACCAAATACTGTGAAACTCTTGCAGAACTTCATGACTGTTTTTGGTACATTAAATTGCTTTTCCAGCTTTTGATTTCATCTCAATGGGGAAAAGTTTATATCTGGCATTTGGAACCAGTATTTGAAATTCCTTTTCATTTCTTCCTTCCAAATTTATTCTTTCACTCACCAATATGTAGACATGGATTTTGATTACTGCAACTTCAGAAATTTTTTTCCTAGTTCCTTTCCTCTATTGTGATTTGGAACTCATTTTCCTTAGCAAGTCACAGCAAAAGCAGGAATGTTTTGAGCCTTTTTACCTTGCTGTCAACCAAGGAGTCATTGTCTGCTTGCCGAGATCCTGTGTGAGATGTATTTGAGGTAATGGCTTAAATAGCTAAGGAGTAGCATCCTCTCAAAATGTGGAACAGTGAGTGAAAGAGGCAGATTTTAGAGACATTTATATTCATAGTGTTAGTTGGAGCCAAGCAAAAATAGCAAAGCAAAAAGGATTGAAGTTAGGAGGAACACTCACATTTAAGGAACGATAACCAACAGAAAAGAAAGAGAAAAAATATAGTTAGGAAGATATAGGGGTACAAACACAGAAGTACAAAGGCATGAAAAACAAATGGCAAATGTTAAAAATTTGTTTATAAATCTCAAATGCTATAGTGAAGGACAAGAAGAATGAGACCTTTAATATGAGCAGATCAGTAGAAACTTTGGGATGGAGCAATTAAACACAATGGTGGCGTTTATGTTATCTTGTTACTAAAAATACCTCAAAACTTAGTGAATTAAAAGAATAACTAATTTGTTCACGATTCTGCAATTCACTAGGTGGTTTTTACTGGTCTGTTAGAAGGTTATTAAATAGTTCAGGCCTACTTAAGGCAACATGGATGGCAATCTATACTGTGGTAATTCTTACAATTTCTCTGAAATTTGGAACCAAAATCTATAAACACACCCCCAGGTGTGTTGGTGAATTAACTCTTCAGGGTCAGAAAGACCTATTTGTAGCAATTGCTGATATTGGTGGAGTGAAAACTGCCAATCATGGTTGATGTCAGGCTACCAGTGTAGAGTAACTGAATGCAAAGTTTGGAAGAGATGGATGCCTGTAGTCCACTCTGACTATCTAATGAGTTGGTCCTAAGGCTCTCGTACACTTCTGTAAAACGTCACTGTTCTGGCCGGGCGCGGTGGCTCACGCCTGTAATCCTAGCACTCTGGGAGGCCGAGGCGGGTGGATTGCTCAAGGTCAGGAGTTCGAGACCAGCCTGAGCAAGAGTGAGACCCCGTCTCTACTAAAAAAAAAAATAGGAAGAAATGATCTGGACAACTAAAAATATATATATATACAAAAAAAAATTAGCCGGGTATGATGGCACATCCCTGTAGTCCCAGCTACTTGGGAGGCTGAGGCAGAAGGGTTGCTTGAGCCTAGGAGTTTGAGGTTGCTGTGAGCTAGGCTGACGCCATGGCACTCTAGCCCAGGTGACAGAGCAAGACTCTGTCTCAAAAAAAAAAAAAAAAAAAAGTCACTATTCTTATCATTTGACTTGATTTGAGAAAGAATTTGAGGCAGCTTAACAAAATAAACACTTAATAAAATAGGATTAAATAAATGAATTTTATGTAAAAGGGAAATAAGAATAGGAAAATAAATGTCAGAATAAAGTTAGCAGTGCATGAAATAAATGCCTTCCATAAAGCTCTGAACAGTTGCTGTAGTGAACTAAGGGTTTGGCCAAAACAAAGCAAAAAGAACAGCAGTAGTGTTCACAGTGTACCTCACATAAAAACAAATCAGCTACTTGAGAGAAACAAAACTTGCCTGATGCCAGGGAGACCAGTGAATAATGAGAAAAGGATACTGCATCCTCAACATTATTGCAGAAGAAATATGGCAGTGTTTATGTGATTATTTATTTATGAATGACAGAGTCTCACTCTTTGGCCCTGGCTAAATGCAGTGGTGTGGTCATAGCTCACTGCAACTTCAAACTGTTTGGTTCAAGTTATCCTCCTGCCTCAGCCTCCCAAGTAGCTGGGACTACAGGTGTGTACTACCTAATTTTTTCTATTTTTAGTAGAGATGGGGGTCTTGCCCTTGCTCAGCCTGGTCTTGAACTCCTGACCTCAAGCCATCCTCCTGCCTTGGCCTCCCTCCCACAGTGCTAGGATTACAGGCGTGAGCCACTGTGCCCAGCCTATGCAATATCTCTTGGAACATTTCAAGGCAAGGTACTGACAATGCCAAAACTATTGAGAAAAGTTGTGTTATTTTTCTCAGAAAAAGAAATACAATTGGCAATTTGAGATCTATAATGGAAAGATTTGAAATAAATGTTTAAGGAGTTTGCATTTTATGGGAAGAATACATGGGAGCTCTGGCTAGTGTATTTAGGCTGTTTATAATGCCGATTCTATCTGTATCATTAAGAGTTTGCAGGTAAGGAAGCTTAATAAAATATTTCAAGATTCTAAATATGGGATAATTAGAGGTTAAACCAAGAAAAGTAGCTGTGGATTTGTTTCTAAAGAAAATTCATATATGAGACAGTATGAATAAAAAGAATCAGCAAGATTTAGTAATAGACTCCTTGATGAGAACAAGTCAGAATGCCTATTTGAAAACTTTCCCAGTACCCCTTTTGATTTCTAGTGGTGATTCATCTTTCACTCTTGAGTGTGTGTGTGTGTGTGTGTGTGTGTGAGAGAGAGAGAGAGAGACAGAGACAGAGACAGAGACTGACGAGGTACTTGCTATGATGAGTAAGGCATGATCTTTGTCTTCAATTTTCCTGCCTTAGCAGGAACTTTTTTTCATTCCTTTCTGCCCATGCTGTCCTTGACTGGCCTTATCTTAAACTTCTAATCAGCTTCTTCCTGTGCTGTTATTTGTTCCTCTTCATTGGTGGTTGCTCAGGCAGCCCAACTTGATAGCAGGGAAGGAAAGGTTTTAGGGTCACCGGTAAATGCTGAGGAGTTCCTGTTCTCATCACTCCTACTCCTGGGTTCTTCTCTTATTCCTCTTGGGCACAGATGTGCTCGTGTTAATTCCTCCCTTGCCCGCCTTTCCCTAGAGTCCATGCGTGCTGGTGCCTCCTACAAATGGCAGAATAAAAGAAAGCCAGAAACAGGTGAGTTTTGAGCTAGATTCTGATTTGGGATTATGAAGGGGTGGGAGGCTTGAATTGATTGAGGTTATGGAAATGGGAAAAGTACATAACTGTTCCATTAGTCTATTGTCAGAACCAGAGTCGAACAGCAGTAGACCCAGGTAGTAGGATTTGGGGGATATGTGGGTTGGTTGTCTGGGCTAGCCATTTCTGGTCAGAAATAGCCCACCCCATAGGAGGCCGAGATCTGTAGAATAGAGAGGCCATTGGCAGATAGGACCTGCCAACAGTAGGATCAAGCAATTTCTATTTACCTTTTCTGTGCTGTTTCTGCTGCCATCTTTATCATCTTTTTATTTGTCCTTTGCCTCTTGCCTGCCCTTCCCATTCATGCAACAGGTGTATATGAATATATGTGGATATATAAACCTCCTGCCCTATCCTTCAGTGTTCCTTTGCTTCTGCACATGAAATTGGTTACTTAAATTAGCCTTTGAGCAGCTAAAATCAGGAAAGGTCCTAAGACTACACTTGGGGACTATCGTTGGCATAGCTGCAGTACAGATGTCCTGTTTGTAAAGGAAATGCCAAGCAAAAGATTAACAGCTGTTGTGACAGATTTTTGTGTGTGTGTGTGCGTGTCTAGATCATAGGTGCTAGAATTGAGCCTACCTTTAATTAGCATAGTGTACTGTGCTGATTGGCCTAGCACCTCATCTTCTTTCAAGGGACTGCTTATCTGAATAGGATGAGGAGGTCATTGTATCCTAAGGGTGGAAAAGTAAGATTCATCTTTTTACTTAATTTTTGAGTGCCTACTTGTGTCTTTAAGCACTTGAGCTAAGTAAGGCCATGGATATTCAGAAATAAATAAGCTATGGTACTTACTCCTCTAGGGACTTTGGTGTAATGGGATAGACCAGCAGTCCCCAACCTTTTTGGCACCAGGGACCAGTTTCCTGGAAGATAATTTTTCCACAGACCAGTGGGGTGGGGGTGGTTTCAAGATGATTCAAGCACATTACATTTATTGTGCAATCAAACCTCTTTGCTAATGATAATCTATATTTGCAGCCACTCCCCAGCGCTAGCATCACCATCTTGGCTCCACCTCAGATCATCAGGCTTTAGATTCTTATAAGGAGCGTGCAACCTAGATCCCTTGCATGCACAGTTTATAGTAGGGTTCATGTTCCTATGAGAATCCACTACCATCTCTGATCTGACAGGAGGCAGAGCTCAGGCAGTGATGTGAGCTATGTGGGGAGGCTGTAAATATAGATGGAGCTTTGCTCACCTCCCGCTGCCCCCCTGAACTCCCCACACCTTACCTCCTGTTGTGTAGCCCGGTTCCTAACAGGCCACAGAGGGGTACCAGTCCATGGCCTGGAGATTGGGGACTGTAGGGGTAGACCAACACTGTCACAATACAATGTGGAGTTTGCCACTTTCAATAAAAATGCAATAAGGAATTACTAAATAAATCATGTTCTTGGTCACTTGGGATGCAGTTTTGGTTTGTATTATTTTTCTTCTGATTGTTAAGGTCTATAGAGATTTAACACTAAGCAACATTAAAAGTTCTAAATGGTACCATAAGTTAAAAGACTCTAGGGTTGTGACTTTATAAAAACTGCTGGAGCTTCAAAATTAGAATACTCAGCCTTGAACAGGGGTTCTCAACCTCTGCAATATTGACTTTTGAAGCTGGATAATTCTTTGTTATGGGGGGCAGACCCCAATAACAGGATATTTAATAGCATCCCTGTCCTCTGCTTACTATATGCCAGTGGCACTCTCCCACTTGTGACATTCAAAAATGTCTTCACATATTGCCAGATGTCAGGAAGGGGAAAGGGGGAGGTGCCAAATTGTCCTTGGTTAAGAACCACTGGTCTAGAGAAAGCCTTTTGGGTCTGCAAGACATTGGAAAGAGGTGTTATTCACCACTGCCCTAGTCGTCAGAAGTCTTCGGGCTACCAGGCCCTTACTTAGCAGTATTTCTTGACTTTGGCAGAAAGAGCTTAAGAGGCTTTTTGACTGAAGCTGGCTTTGCCTCAGTTTCAAGATCATTTTGTTTCTGCTTTGCTCTTTACTGCTTTCCTGGCCTTAACCCACTGTCCAGTCTCGACCAGCTTCTGTGTGACTCCAAACTTGGTGGCACTTTCTGTTCTCTATATTTTTAATTTTGGTAGTTCTAGCAACTAAGAGGAGGATTATGTGTTATATATGACACATACAGACAATTTAATGAGATGTTTTTCTGCCAGTAACGGCTCATTGTTACTAATTTCTAAGATTATATTTAACTAAACCCATTTTTTTTTTTTTTTTCCCTTAAGAGACAGTATCTCTCTGTTGCCCAGGCTGGACTGTGGTGGCATAATTATAGCTCATTGTAGCCTCCAACTCCTGGGCTCAAGCAGTCCTCCTGTCTCAGCCTCCTGAGTTGCTGGGATTACAGGTGCACGCTACTGTGCCTGCTAAATTTTTTCGTTTTTTGTAGAGGTGGGGGTCTCACTATGTTGCTCAGGCTAGTCTTAAACTACTGGCCTCAAGCAATGCTCCCACCTCAGCCTCCCAAACAAAGCACTGGGATTATGGGTGAGCCACTGTGCCCAGCTTAAACTCATCTTTTTGGTAGTTGTTGAACCTGCTGAAGTAATATTGTTTAAATGTATTTTCTGGCTTAAGTTTCTATAAAAAATGTTTTACATGCGGCACCATGTGAATATCTGAAGTGATTAAGGTTAGTGACCTTATCTCATACAGGTTTATTTCCAACCATTAAACAAATATTTGGGTATTCATTCATGCCAGGCACCACATTAGTGCTCTGAATAATAGTTTATTAATTTTATTTTGTAAACTGTCTAAACATTTCAGGAATATCTGCTAAATTTTCTGTATACATCTCTAGCCTTGAGCTACCACTTAATTAGCTAGTTCACCTTGGTAGTTATCTATATAATAACTACTCATGTATTTTTATTGTGATATATTAAGTTAGCATTTAGGAACACGAAGAGGAAGCAGTCATGATTTTAAAATGTGTTTTGCTTTTCTGTGTCTTCTTCGTGGCTTCATGTTTGCTAACTGGCAATGGTGTGGCCTACAGGGCCTTATATGATACGATGTCATTTAGTTCTGAGTTGTTTGAGATTTTTGATGGTGCTCAGCCTCTGAGAGAGCTAGGCAGTTTTAGATGTTAATATATTTAATTTAGTGATGTAATGAAAAATTTTAGTATTAAAATAAGTATATGACCCCCATCATTAATTCCGTTACAGAATCATTTAACTGAAAACAAATGAGCTAGAAAAAATTACATCTTACTTTTTTTATATAGATAAAGAGAGACCTGTACAGTCTTTGAAAACATCAAGAGATACTTCACCCTCAAGTTCTTCAGCAGTTCCATCATCAAAGGTTTGTTATATTTCCAAAATCAGTTTAAAGAATTACAAAGTAAATGAAATGGGCTGTCTAGTACAGATTCTTATATTCTTTACTGTTATATCTATGGGACTAATTTGCTGAATTTAAAAACTTGAATTTTAAGTAATTACAACTTGAAAAATAGTACCAAATAGGCGGTTTTCTCATAGAGTTTTTTCTACAGGTTATGCTGAAATTAGTACTTACTGCTACAACCCTTGCTCTCATCTTGACCATAACCAGCTGGGAATAATATTCAGATGGAGCATATTTGGTGGGATTGTGCTTTTATTTTGGGAGTTAGGGGTATAGGCAGAGACCTAATATTTATTATATAACTAGTCAATTCTAGATACCATATTAAGTATTATTTTCTTGCATTCATATAGAAATCCTATGATATAAGTAAGTATATATCTCTATTCTATAACATAGTGAAGGCTCAGAAGTTAAATAATTTTATCAAGGACATAGCTTTATCATTCTTCTCATTCCTACCTTTCCATCATCTCAAAACATGTTGAAAAGATGACTCATGCTTTTAATCGTCAAAAAATTAAAAATTTGACAAGTTGCTGTTTCTGTCTGTTCTCCTCAGTTAGAGGTTCTGTTCACAAATCTCATACCGTTTCTCTTGACCATCACTGTTGTTACTTCTCTTCTTTTTGTTCTTCTGTCTTCTATATTTTTGGCTTTTCAGCAAGAGTAGGTGTCATCTGGCAGGGGGCAGCTGCTTCTCTGCCTCAAAGAGGGGGAAAGTTTCTTTGTGACAACTTGTATCTTTGGAACGCTTCGTCTGAGGATTCTAGAATGCTGGGCTCTGAATAGCAAAGATTGATTGGATTATTTGCTTCTGTCTTAACCATATCAAGGGTGCTTAACCCACCCGAAAGACTGGCTTGTTTTTCTTGGCAGGTGATAAATGAAAGAAGAGTAAATAGTACCTGCCCATCCAAGTTACTATGAAAATTTAAATTATTTATTATGTATGAAATATTCATTTCCCCTGAAATATAATGCTATTTAAGTATAGGTTATGACATAGGGCTTTGTGCTACATGTTAAGATATGTTTAGTGGGAAACAACCATAATGGATTTAGCTACTTTTGACTGATGTTTATGTTTTCGTTACGTAGATCACAAAGTCTTAAAATGGAATCAGAATATCAGAATTTTAGATCTACAATTATTTTATGTGTTGGGAAAGTGCTACCTCCTGTGTCCTTTGCTCAGGGTCACATGGTAGCTCTGGGGAGCTTTATTACCTAGATTTTCTGATTTGGTGGAGGACTTTTTTGTGTAAACATTATGGTGGCCCTCACGTAGGAATACTTTTTCAGAGTTTATTTCCTGATGTTAGAAGTTAGTTTCAAATGATAGGTTTTCAGCTGTACAGATTTAATAACAGATGAATAAAAAGATTAAAAATAGTAGGTCATTAAGTATGAAATGCCTGATTTCAAATCAAAAGTTTATTGTATCTCAGACAAGAAGCAGTACAATTAATCAAAGTATGTGCTTAAACTATCGACATAGTTTTGCGATCTTAACAGTAGCTTGCTTATACCAGCAGCAAAGAAGTATGAAGAATGAGTGGCGATGAAATCGTGAAAGGCGTTTTCCACTCACTGCTTGTTGGAAGTAATAAATGAAGGAAGAGTAAATAGTACCTGCCCATTCAAGCTACTATGAAAATTTAAATTATTACGTATGAACCAGTTTTCTGGGAAAGCTGTGGAAACACAGAGAGTTTCCAAGTCCAGCTTCTGTAGTTTGAGCAGCAATTTTTTTTTTTTTTTTTTTGCCACATGTGGTCTTGCAAGAGGATTGGCCTGTCTCTGTTGACCAATCTTGGCTGTTTAATCACAAGCATCCTCATCATTTCATCCAGTTGGCTTCAGTAGACATCTGCTGTAATTGGCCAGGTTTCATGAAGCTGTAGTGGACAAAAGCAGTGTTGGACCACCAAACAGACACGATTAGCTTTTTTTGATGAATATTCACTTTTGTACTGTGTTCCCCGCATTTCACCTTTTATCCAATCAATGTGCTGAACATTTGCAGTTGTCAAAAAGAATCCATTTTTCATCACATGTGACGATACAATATAGAAATGATTTGCCTTTATGTCCTGACAGCAAAGAAAGGCAAGCTTTGAGGCAGCTTCTCTACTGATGCCTGTTTAATTCATGTGGGTACCCATCTATCCACCTTCTAGACCTTGCATATTTGTTTCAAATGGTCCAGTATTGTTGGATAGTAATGTCAAACCCTGCTGCTAGTTCACGAGTAGGTAGAGATGGATTCGCTTCCACTACAGCTTTTAGTTCATCATTATCCATCTTAGCCTCAAGTCACTCACATGGCTCATTTTCAAGATTAAAATCACCAGAATGGAACTTCTCAAACCATCCTTGTACTGTGCGTTCATTAGTCACATCCTTCCCAAACACTTCGTTGATATTTTGAGCTTATTATGCTCTTTTGGTTCCATGATGGAACTCATATTCAAAAACAACATGAGTTTTTGACTTATCCATAGTTTCACAAAAATTGCTCTAAAAAAATGTGAAAGATAATTATAAGCCAAAATGTGCGTTTGAAAGAATGAGGATATACCTTCACAATAAAAAATAAAAAAAATGCAAGTGCCGAAGTGAAACATCAGAGATATCAAAAGTCAAACTTAGTACTTAAGGAAATCGGACATTCCATACTTAATAACCTAATGGTATGTTTTTGCTTGATTCTTTACTAGAGAGAATTCATATAAACATTTGTTTTTGCTCTATAACTTTCTCTTACACAGATATGTGCCCCTCCCCACAAAACGATGTAGAGTATACATTTTTTTCTTGGATATATTCGTGTGTGTGTATGTTTTCTTTTTCTAACTTATTTTTTTAAAAACCTTCTATTACTGAGTAATAATAATACCTTTTTAACCTAATATTAATATATGAACAGGGCTTTGGAGTAAACTTTCTCAATGGCTACAGAATATACTTCATGTATATATTGGTTTAATCTTCCAGTGAATATTATAGATGGCCAGCCAGTAGATTGGTGAATTTAATAAGGTATGGAAAGAGATCAAGTGTTATTTCCATTTAAAAGATCAATTTTAAGTCCCATCTCAGCATTTATTAGTGACTTTAGTCACTCTCATTCAGTTTCTTGGTTATAAGTTGGAGTAACAAAACACTTTCATGGAATTCTATTTAATTAAAATACATTTTTTGGTTTGTAAATAAAAGCACTTCATAAATGGCGGTGCCCCATAAGATGGGGGTTTTTACCAGCACTGTCATCAGAGGTATATTTGGAATCAATGATGTGAGTTTAGAGAAATAAGAGATGTGGGGGAAATATTAGGCATTAGAAAAATTAGGGCCTAGTTGATGAAAATGTATGCTAAGGAAATAGAATCAGAGAATTACCATAAGGGTATAAGGAAAGAATTTTTAAATTTGTGATTTAAAATTTTACATCTTATTCTATAACAGAAGCCTTTAAAAGGGCATATTGTGGGAATTCAATTCAGAAAAGACATTTTATTTTCTTTATTTTTCTATTGACCCCATCCATGAACTGATTGATCTCTAAATATGTTTTAGTATAATATATTTGTATCAATGACTGTGGAAAAGAAAGAAAAACTAAAGTATTAAGCATTTTTCTAGATACTTTCAGATCTATTACCTCTCTTAATTCTCACAACTGCTTTGCAAAGTATTATTAACCCCTATTTTGTAAATGAGGAAATGAAGGCTCACAGTGTTATAAATTATGTATAAAAAATCATCTACCTAGCAAGTCATTAAACTGCAGTTCAAACCCAGGTCTGTCTGTAACTCAAAAGCCTGTACCTTGTTTAGTATTGTATGTAGTTAAAGGAACTAGGAGTAGGATCAAAAAATGAGGTTTAGGTCTAAAAATTTTTTGTGAGGAGGATGTACATAATTCATTACAAATTATAAAAATGGCATATCTGGAATTTTCTGTCACATTAGGAGTATATTTTAATGAGTTTTTGGCATTACTTATTTAAAAATACAATGTTGAAACTAGTATGATATCGTTTATATTTTAAATCCAATTAGTATATCAGGTAATTGTCAGTGTCTTTTGCTTTGTTCCTAACATGAATTTCTAGAGTTTAATGTCAGTCAAATTGGATTAGATCTGGTCTATATGTCCCAAAGGAATTGCTACATCAAGGAATTCTATGTTGAATATTTTTGAAGGAACAAATAACGTATCTGTTCTCCATATAAATTCAAAGGCTTATATGATTTTAAGTGTAAGTAGGGTGGTATGCTTCTTGATCTATTTGAAGTTTAAAAGCCCTTGAGAATTGTAACAGAAATGTTCTTTTATTTTTATTAGGTGTTAGATAAACCCAGTAGGCTAACTGAAAAAGAACTTGCTGAGGCTGCAAGCAAGTGGGCTGCTGAAAAGCTAGAGAAGTCAGATGAAAGTAACTTGCCTGAAATTTCTGAGTATGAGGTAAAGTATAATTTCTTCATGTTTTACATCTGAAAGTTTTGTCTGCATTTTAAATTATGGGTGGAAAATAATTGGTTTATTCTAGTACTTCAGAATGTATCTTCATGGATTACAGATATTAAAATTTACCATACAGAGTGATAGTCTGAATATGAATGACTCTGAATTCAGTAATCATACTGTGTCTGAATGTCTACAGGAGTTTAGGAATGTAAGACTAGTGTAAATATGGAGTATAAGAAAAATGCATCATTTATATACTTTTAATGGGCTTTGCTGTTAAAAGTATCTCAGGAGGCCGGGCGCCGGTGGCTCACGCCTGTAATCCTAGCTCTCTGGGAGGCCGAGGCGGGCGGATTGTTTGAGCTCAGGAGTTCGAAACCAGCCTGAGCAAGAGCGAGACCCCGTCTCTACCAAAAATAGAAAGAAATTAATTGGACAACTAAAAATATATAGAAAAAATTAGCCGGGCATGGTGTCACATGCCTGTAGTCCCAGCTACTCGGGAGGCTGAGGCAGGAGGATCGCTTGAGCCCAGGAGTTTGAGGTTGCTGTGAGCTAGGATGACGCCACGGCACTCTAGCCCAGGCAACACAGTGAGACTCTGTCTCAACAACAACAAAAAAAAGTATCTCAGGAAATCATGCTGAGTCACTAGTCATAAACCATTGAATTCAGAACAAAAATCTAATTCAACCTTGGATTGTGGGCTATATTTATATTGCAGATTATACTTTATGTAAATTATCTCATAAATATCCCCGAAAATGAAATTATTCACTGTTTGGGTGACCTGATACCATCGATGAGTCTTGAGCACCAAAAGAGAACATTTTTGAGCTCACAGAAAACTGTTTATGAAATATTTATATTAAAATATTTGAAAATGAACTGAAAGTTTCTGTATAACCTATAACATCTCTAAAAGGGAAATGTAGAGATGTTATGTGCAAAATTAAGCATTTAGATTCAGGATTTGATACTAGAGGAATTATTTTCACAGGTAGAGAATATAAAAATCTCTGTATTATGACAAATTATATTTGAAGGAGAGTTCTGGCTTTTTGATATATTTTTGGATGGCTTCTACAGAAGTTCCTTTGATAAAGGATCAAGCTTTGGCATCTATATAAAAATAATATTTAACTACATCTTCATACACTATGAAAAGATCCTTTTTAAAGTAAGTAAGGTACACTTTTCACAAAAAGCGCAAACCCTATCAGAACGTACGCAAATAGAACCTTTCTTTTTTAAAATGCTGATCCGTCTTTTAAATATCAATTTTTCTTAAATAGGTCAAGGTTTCCTTGTTATTGTAACTGTAATAATAGATATTTATGCATATCCTCAAGTAAATGTATCAAAAACAACAAACTGTCCCTTTCTGGCACTTTTCCAACACTACTTAAAAGCATGAACAATACAGTAACACATTTAATAGGTTATTTTCGTTAATAAGTTAGAATAATGATTTTTATGTTAATAATAGATTTATGTGTTTCAAATTACTATTTTGGAGTATTGATCATTTTTCTTTTAGTGATTAAAACCAAAAACCTCCAAAAAAGACTAATTTCTTATTTCCTTAATACTTTAATTAGCAAGGCTTTCATTAACATATATACACACACACACACACACATTTAGGCTTTATTAATATATGCATAAGCAAGGCTTTATATATATATATATATATATATATAAAAATATGAATAGTATGTTCATCTTCTCCTTCTCCCCATCATTTTTAATCTCAGTTTCCTATAAAATCTGACTGCCTTTCTCAGATTTTAAATATTCCACTTAGGTTCTCTGATTGCTTGAATGGATCCTGACACTGAGTAGTCAGTGACAGTGGATCTACAAAGACTTTTCTTACCTCTGTCTTTTCTCTGAAATTTGCTTAGAATTTGCTAGATTTTGATTTAGTGAAAGGTAAATAATAGCACTAAATATCTGTAAGTGGAGTGATGGGTTAAATGTGATCTTTTGTTGGATCAAAGGCAAGATGTATTTGTTACTTGGTGTACATCATTAATGTTGAACAGCAGAATCAACTTTATACCATTCTCTAAAATGTTTTTCAAGTCAGATTCATACTTGTTCATACTGGAAATAAAGCAGTTGGGAAATTTTTATGATACTGTTTGTAAACTTAGTCCCATCCTATCTTATTAATATTTTGCTCAGATAGTAACATCTGTTGGGCTGTTGCTAAATAGTTACTCATATCAGTGTTCCATGCCTTTTGGGAAATAGAATTTTGTCCTTGGTCCTGTAAACTCTTGCCTAATTTAATAGAATAACCTGGAAAGAAAGAAGGCACTTGATGCTAAGAAAGAGTTTGGCATAGTGCTGTTCGTGTGTGTGTGCACATGCACGTGCATTTGTGTTTAAATCTAGTTGAGACAATACTTTATATTAGCTATGTAAGTAATGGCTCATGTACTTCAGAAACACTGTAGATTCATTTTTATGAGTTGAGAGAGAGTGAATGCTTAGATTATCTTCTTTTGCTGCCATCAATATGGTTTTAAGCAATTTGTTCATAGAAAGTCCAATGACGTTGAATATAAATTCAGTAACATGCTTTAAAAACTCAGGCATGTTGTAGTTTATTTCTTTGTTCAGTTTTATACTTTTATCTTTTGGGCTGTAACAGAGCATTTCCTAAAGTATTTGACAGAATAGTAATACTGAAGGGTCTTAATGGTCTGAGGAAGGAAAAAAAGATTATATTAGCCAGTATGTTTGGGAAATGCTAGATTTAAAAGAGGTAGATTGGTTTTGATATTTCAGTACTTTTTGGAGATTTTAATATATTAATATGCTCATGAGTCTTTTGTGAAAGGATGATAAAATAATAGAGTTTGCATAGTTTACTAAACTTTTGGCTATGAAATTTTTTTCAGTGTATATTTTAGGGTTAGTGTTTCAAGTCACATATTTTCAGAGAAAAATATTGTATTGGCTTTCTTATACTTTATTTAAATTCACTGCATATTCATTCTGCATCTTCTTTGCATTTGAGACACCATCCTAGCCATCAAGGAGGTTGCAGTCAAGTTTTGTAGAGAGATAATTGACCATCTTTAAACAAATAGCTGTGAGAATTTTGCTTTTGGCAGAATGAAAAGCAAATTATTTGAAGGCTGTTAGAATGTCCCAATTGAACAGGTCACTTCCTGCTATAGAAGAAAATTTTAACATTTTTCCTACATGTAAATGTGAAAACATGACTTACGTTGTTTTCACCTATAAGGTGTTATTTTCTGCTTCAATTTCTCTGCTTACTTTGTCCCCAGCCTAAAATGCCCATCTTCCATGGATCTCTTTCAAACTCACATTCCTTCAGTAGAACCAATAGTGTTTGCGATAATAAGACTCAAGATCTTTCTTGATTCCACTTTCCTACCTACTGTAAAATTTTATGCCACTTTGTATTTCCCTGATGACCTTATTAAACATTATATTAAAAATATTTTTTCTTGTGTAGCTGTATATATTCAATTTATATATGATATAATGAATGTATCTTAAGCACTTGCCTTGTTTCCCCTCTAGTACCTTGGATAATATATATCTATTAATAATTAATTGGACTAAATTTAATTTCTTAGGAGCTCTTTTAGGTGTCAGGTATTTTTTCTTCTTTATTTGCTTTTTGTTTCCCCAAAACTTATGTTTGCTCTGATGTGCATCCTGTGCTCACCAATTTACATTTTTATATGTAGACCTATGTCTTAGTCAGTTTTGTGTTGCTATAACAAAATACCCAACACTCAATAATTACAAAGAACAGAAATTGATTTCTTACAGTTCTAGAGGCTGAGAAGTCCAAGATCAAGGTGCTGAGAGGTTTGGTGTCTGGTAAGGGCCTGGTCTGTGCTTCCAAGATGTCTTGAACCATTTTTCAGAGTGGAAGAGCAAAAAGTGAGTGAGCCAGCCACTCCTAAAGCCCTTTGTTAAAGTCATTGAACCCACCTGTGAGGGCACAGCCTTTATGGCCTAACCACCTCTTAAAGGTCTCGCCTACCAGTAACATTTCATTAGCAATTAAATTTCAACATGGGCCGGGTGGGGGCTCACACCTGTAGTCCCAGCACTTTGGGAGGTCAAGGCAGGAGGATCACTTGAGGCCAGGAGTTTGAGACCAGCCTAAGCAACATTGTGAGACCTTGTCTCTACAAAAAATAGAAAAATAAGCCAGATGGTACCTATAGTCCGAGGTATTTGGGAGGCTGAGGCAGGAGGATCTCTCGAGCCCAGAAGTTTGAGGCTGCCATGAGCTATGATCACAGCACTATGCTCCAGCCTGGGCAACAGAGGAGACCCCATCTCAAAAAAAAACCATCTCAATATGAGTTTTGGAGGGGACATTCACACCCTAGCAGCCTGGAGTTATGATGAAGCCTGAAATTACTATTTTGAAATTACTATTTTTAAAAAAACTTCAACAGTTTTTTTAGTTTTGTCTTTGTTTTTTTGGGGGGGATTGTTTGTTTTGGGTTTTTTGTTTTTTTGTTTTTTTGTTTTTTTTTTTGCATTGACCTAACTAAATCAGAATCGTGGCAGAATTATTTTGATCTTGGGGTAGTCAGAACACTGATAGTATAAATAAACTTCCTTAGCCCTTCCTTTATTGTTAGTAGAAAATACTAAAACTAATTGTTACCTACCACCAGGAAAAGTTACACTCTTGTTAGTGTGCACCCCTGTGTCCTATGATTCACCAGTATTTCTTGTGTCCTTACCTTTTCTTTTTGACCACAAGGTTTCTTTCCAAGCAGCAGGGGTGAGAGGAGATACATAATTTGGGAGCCTACTATGAGGGTTATAGAATAACAACGTGGATGTAATGACCTGGCAGTAGAAAACTGATGCTGATAGTAACATTTATTTCTTAAATTATTCTTATGCCTTCACTTTAAATCCTTAAAATATGTAACTCAAACTTGTAAAAACTAGGTTTTTTTAGTAGATAATGAATGTATTTGTCAGAAATTCAAGTAGTGCTGAAGTATTTACAGTATGTCCCTTCCATCCTACTTCTTACTTCAAAGTTGTTCCTATTGAGACAACTCCTTTTATCACTTTTTTCCATAGATAGTATCCTTCCAAAGGTAGTCTGTGTGTATATATGCACAAATGTAATGCTTCCATACTTAACCCCCTCCTTCTTTTTTGATGCAATTGACAGTATATTGATGTATATTTATAGGGAATGAACTCCAGGCCGTGGGATTATTTATTCACTATTGATTTGTTGCTCTAAAGTAGAAGTGATCATTATTGCTTTGTGGAATTGTTTTCATTTTAATTATTTCAATAAATTCTTAGACTACAGGAGGACGATATTTTAACTTCTGAAAGTAGAGCCCTTTCCCATCTTCCTTTTTATATATTTCTTTGTGGATGCACACACCGCTCACTTCCAATTGGACTTTTTCTCTTCAGTGTGTCACAAATAGATTGCTTAAGGAATACTCAAGGGACAAAACCTTTCTATCTATATCTTAATATAGTGTGAGGCATAATTTTAGAATGGAATAAGCCTAGAAGTTTTGTCTTACCTAAAATAAAAAAGGTAGCAATCATTTCCTCTTTAATCCTCTTCACATATGCTCATTATGCATAGTGAAATTGAAAGAGTTTTCTTTTCTTAAAACAGGTTCAACCTAGCACTTTCTTTTAACGTAATCTGCCAGTTAGTGCCTACACACAGTTTTCTGAAATGCTGTATCCTTTTGAAAATAATTAAAGATTTCTAATTCTTTTTCAAGGCGGAATCCACAGCACCATTGTACATTGACCAGCCAGAAGAACCTGAGTCAAATGCAACAGATGGCATAGAGTTATTTGAAGACAGTCAGCTAACCAGTCGCTCTAAAGCAATAGCATCAAAAACCAAAGAGATTGAACAGGTTAGAATTCAGTATATAATCTTTTGTTTATGTTGCTTTGCACATGTAGACATTTATTGAATAAATATGCTTCATTTGTCTTTTTCTACTTGTGACTTTGAAATTACAACTTAAAAAATTGTAAAAATTGAGTTGATTTCACAGTCATTTTGATCACTGTAGTTGCCCATTCTGGTTTATTTTTAAATAAAGAGCAAGCTTCTTTTTTAGAGGATATTAATATTCTTATTAGTATGAAGCAATTAAAAAATTGTTAACAGGGATGGGATGGAAGAAATTTTTAAATACAGCAAAATGTTAGCAAATGTTATTTTTAAATATTGGGATTACAGATGCTTCTTATGTTTTTCATTATACTTTTAAGCATTTTCCAAATATTAAAGAACAGATAAAGAATACTATTTAAGTCTAATTTTTTGGTGATATAATTCTGAAAAGTAGTATCTTATTTTTAATATGAAACCATTACCTACCTCATAGGGTATTATCATTTTATGAGGATTAAATGAAGTAAATAAAGTGGTGAAAGGGCTTCTTTATAAAATGTAACATGTTATATAAGTACTAGTTTTTGATGTTGTTACTCTCTAGTGCATTGAATAAATGCCTTACATTGTTATGTAATCTTCTAAAAAAGATTAGAAATTAAAAACAAAATTAAGTCTTTTCTCAAGGTGCTGTCCAATTTGCACATAAGTTAAAGTCTGTTTCCCTTGGTTGGATAGGGGATGGTCTACATTAAATCCTAGATATGCTTGTGTAGCTTATGTTAGTGCCACACCAATGGCAAAAGATAAGAACCAGAATAGGAAGTTTGCCATGCAAACCTGTGGAGTTTCAAAATGAAGGGTCAGTAGTATCTGATGCCTAGAGAAATATAAGGAAAATGGAGACTGGGAAAATCCTGTTTAATTTGGTGATGTGGAGGCAACTTGTCCCTTTCAAGATATCAATTAAATGAAAGCATAAGAAAAAAAGGTTTGCTTACTAGCTATATCTTCAACATGAAATGCATGACATTACCCTAAATAAAATTACTATCCTTCTGTCTGTTTACTCTGACTTATTTTTCTTTGTAGCTTTTTTTAAAACCACTTGACCTGTTTTTGTTTCTGTGTCTTCCCGTACCATAATGGGCACTCCATCAGAGCAAGGACTCTGTTTTATTTGTATCTCCATCACCTAGAACAGTGATTGGTGTGTAGTAGGTTCACAAGAAAGATTTATTGGATGGATGATGGAGTCATAAACCTGAAAGTGACCTCTGAGTAGTCCTTGGGTCACTTGAAATCAGAGACTGTGTCTTAACCTGCCCACTCAACAAAGTGCCTAGCTAGGCCCAGCTCTCAGTAGTGTAAGTACTTGATAAATGTTTGTTGAATGAATAAGTGATTTAGTATTACTTCTCTTTTTCACCCAAATTGCAATTCTGTAAAGGAGAGATTCTCTTAAGAATATAACTGGTAGAAAAACTTAACTGAAATAACAGGGGAGAGGGATTATTTTGGGTTACTGGTTATTAATATTTCTACTATCTCCTCATTATTATTTATAGTTGACTTGATCTTCAGAAAGTGGGTTATCAGTCAGGTGTATAGTTTAGCAGTATACACATAAAATTATTTAGCATGTAGTCAGTTTTTGTAGTACCTTTTAGAAACCTGCATATATTTTATCTATAAGTATATTTCTGTTTTCATCTGTCTGTTGTTCAAGCACATGAAAAATCTGACACTGAAGTGTGTTGAGATCATTACAGCAAGAACAAATGACCTAAAGAAAGAAAAATAAATCTAAAAGGAAAATATTATATTCTAATGTTACTAGAGAAGTGAAACAGTTATTAGAATTGCTATAAAATAGAAGACTTAATGGTGTTAAACATTGGAATGTAACTTCTTTTTTTGCTAAGATATTTTGGTTTTTATATATTGGTAAGAAATCAAACTAAAAGCCCCCCAAATGTCAGAAATTTAGCAAATAGTGATACACAGTTATTTTATAAATTTATATCTAAAACATACAGTAATTTTTAAAAATGAAAAATTTTAAGGTTTTTGGTTTTTCCAATTTTGACTCAAACTTTTACACGTTTTATTTTTAGCCATTAAATACCAAATGGATGGGAAGCCAGGTATCTAGTAATTAATCTGTATATTCTTCTATGTACTTGAAATATCCCATAATTTTAACGAAAGAATAACAACACAAAAAAGCTCTGTAGAGATGAGACCAACAAATCAAGCTAGGATAATACAGAAATTAAATATTTATTCCTGTTTCATCATGTGCATTATCTTCAGGTTTCTTAGAAAGATAAGTTATAATATATGATTTTGGGGGGGGTTTCTATAAATTAGATCTCTCAGCTATTGAATCCCCAAGAAAGTCATTAACTTTAAGAAGTATTATAAAATAAAATAAATCTCCTGGCCAAAATTTGGTTTAATTGAATATGGCCACAGATACAGTTGTTTCTTGAGGTTTAAGGGTGTGCATATGGACGTAGATTGTATCAGAATCACCTCAATGACAGAGGCAAATTTATGTCTTTTACCATATTGTCACCTTCTTATCCCTGAGCATATAAGAATTTTATTAGGATTAGGAGTACATGTGGTTTTTGAAAAAGCCCCCCAAGTTATAATCAGATATGACAGAGGACCACTCGTCGAAATTCCATAATCCAGAAAACATCAAGTTATATCTCTGAAATATTGTATTGCTAGAGATGAATTATTTTGAATAATCCCACTTTTACTTGAATGTCTTTTGGTAGATATGATCCACTCTATTACCACAGAACATTTAGCTGCCTGAAGCTTTGGGGGTCCTAGGATGGATCTTTTTATTCCTCGTTTCCCCAGATTATCTCCTGTTATCCAAGTTGGGCCATCTTTTACACTCAATTACTGGGCTATTTTCCTAGGCTTCCCGGCTTAGGCAAATTTCAGAATTTCTTTGGACTGTCATTATACTAATTCCTAGAGAGACCTAATCCACAAAATTATGTATGATTTGTACTCTGGTTCAGATGTTTGGCTTAATCTCTTGACTGTGATATCCTGCAAGCCTTCACATAGCTACATAGTGACTTGAAAGTGTCTGAGCATGGTGGCTCATGCCTGTAATACTAGCACTTTGGAAGGCCAATGTGGGGGGATCACTTGAGGCCAGGAGTTCAAGAGCACCATGGGCAATATGGCAAGACCCTGTCTCTACCAAAAAAAAAAAAAATTAGGTGGGCCTGGTGTCTTATGCCTGTAATCCCAACTACTTGGGAGGATCACTTAAGCTGAGGAGTTTCAGCCTAGGTGACAGAGTAAAACCCTGTCTCTGTTAAAAAGAAAAAAAAGAAAGTATATTCATCTCTTGCTATTTTACCAGTGAGAAATCATGTCCTTTACCAAGTTGTCATTTTCAACCACACAGATTAAAATCCTTCATCATTATATATCCATTTTCCTTGTATTGCACCTCCAGGGATAAAACAACATTTACTTTAATTCTTTGAAGCTTTCTGGGATTTAATATTTGCAAGGTCCATTATACTTTGATAAAATCATGCTTAAACATAGCCTATCATTGCCTTGGCATCCTGGTATCTAACAATTTTTTTTATGTCTCTGTAATTCCTCACTTATAAAATCTAGAGTAGATTCTGTCTTCTCTCTTCAGATGGAATCAGATAATCTGAGTAGATCCAGTGTGTGTTATATGTATATGAATGTGTGTATGTGTATGCAGATCATATGACTAAGTGTTAGAGTGGCTAAGATCCTTATAAAAGCATGACAAGTAGCAGGGAAGCAGTTACTTAAACAACTATTAAGGATGGTTGGTGAGTAGCTGGAGTTTACTGTGATATTTTGCCATACAAAGTAATCTTGCAAAAAAGAGAATGTTCCGTCTCTTCATCCTCAAGGCACAGTGCTTATATTGTGATTCTCTACCTTTGTTGTATATCTGTGGAGCTTTTCAAAAGTAGAGCTTCTTGGATTTCAACTATAAATATTCTGGTAACAGAGCTTGTCAAACTTTAATATGCACATAAATCACTGGGGGTTTTGTTAAAGTACATATCTAGTCAGTAGATCTGGGAAGGGGCCTTGAGATTTGGAAATTCTCATACGTGGCCAGCTAGTGCTAATTCTACTAGTTTATGGACCGTATTGGAGTAACAAGGAATTAGAAGGATATGACTTTTTTCTTAAAATTCTACTGTTGTTTCTAACATGCTGAAAGATTAGGAGCTACCACCACCTTAGTATTGTGTGGATTAGAGAAGTTCTATATTTTTTTTTTTTTTTTTTTTTTGAGACAGAGTCTCACTCTCTTGCCTGGGGCGAGTGCCGTGGTGTCAGCCTAGCTCACAGCAACCTCAGACTCCTGGGCTCAAGCGATCCTACTGTCTCAGCCTCCCGAGTAGCTGGGACCACAGGCACGCGCCATGCGCCACCATGCCCGGCTAATTTTTTCTACGTATATTTTTAGCTGTCCAATTAATTTCTTTCCATTTTTTGGTAGAGACGGGGTCTCGATCTCGCTCAGGCTGGTCTTGAACTCCTGAGCTCAGAACGATCCGCCTGCCTCGGCCTCCCAGAGTGCTAGGATTACAGGCGTGAGCCACCGTGCCCGGCCTATATTTTTAAATTAAGGTAAAATTAATATACAATAAAATACATAGATCTTAAATTTTCAGTTGGATGAGTTTTGGTAGTTACAACACTGTAAACATCATCCAAAAAAATACATATGCAAGTCTTTCTTTTCAGATATAAATAATTGATTTTACTAACTGTAATAAGGATATAGTTAGGAACTAAACTTGTGTTCATTTCTTAAAAGCTTGTGTTCTGATTTGGTGTTGAATATCCTCCAGCCCATTCAGTGAGCACTGTATTTTAAGTGATAACATACAAATGCATAAAATTCAAGACACAAGAGATCATGTAATGACAAGAAGTTTTCTTACAACCCATAACTCTCAGCTGCCTAGT